CATGAGGAGTTAAAATGCACAACAGTGTACACCGAATACAATCATTGCGTCTGAGTGTGTGTGGGTGGTGGTGGTGATTAAGGGGTTGGGAAAGATGAACATTTACAATGTTTAAGTGAAACAAGGTCAGAAGGAAAATGTCAATGGTTGTATTTGTTTCAAAGACACAAAGATTTATGAGAGACCACAGGAAAATGGACAGGAAACATTTCAAAGCTGCATAGGAACATTCAAACCCTTGGGTTAAAAGTTACAATCAGCAACCGTGAGTTCACAGTGAGGCAGACAACAGCAAGTTCTCTGTCAAGTTCAGATGGATATGGTTTCCTTTCCTCTAACTCCCCATTGCTGCAGGCTTTATTCGACATCCCGACCTTTTCATAACTGTGTGCAAGTGTCAATATTTGCTAGGACTCCACAGGTTCAATGCTCTGATGCCTTACTTCTATATATCAAATAGTTTGTGACATGCCTGGAGTGGTAACCTTCATCTTATCTGCTGAGACTGAACTACAAACTAGGTACATGAGGTGAAAGTGCAGTGTACCATCCACTGTTACAGTAGCCAGAGCTGAAGATTAATGCGTTCTTGACGTCAGATTATGGAAATAATGACATAATATCATATATCATGGCTGGACAGACAGCGTTTTCTAGATTAATCACAAACTAATCAGAGCATGTTAATGAAAATAAAACTTTTCACTTAAATTCTCATGTAGCAAATGCTGACAAGAAATTATATTTATAATTTCAAATTAAAAAGATCTTTAAATAAATGTTTAGAAGTGTCTATAATGAACATACTATTGTACTAAAATAAGTTATATCAGAAACTCTCCTGCATTTAAATAATGATTTTTAATATAATTAGTATAAGCTGAAATTCAAAAACAGGTCTAAGTGTTTGTATTCAGGAAATGAATAAAACTAGCATTTAATGCCCATCTATTTGTGCCCATGAAAAATCAGTGATGAGTCACCGTCTTGAAGTACTGCAGTCTTCTTGTGAAGGTACTCCTATAGCATTATCACGTAGAGTATTGCAGAATTTTGACCCATCATGAATGAAGCAGCAGTGATGTATTTTAAAATCAGTATGGTGTGTAAGTTAGAGCGGAACTTGGAGATGGTGCCTCTCCTGATTGAGGAATTGTTTCTTTGGATTGGAAAATTGCCAGACAATCCATTGTTTAAGAGTAGAGTGATAATCTAGGTAATTATAGGCTCATTGCTCTGGTGTCTGTTGTGGGAAAGTTACCGGAATCGATAATTAAGGTCAGCAATTGAGTACTTGGCTAAACATGAACTAATCACAGAGGGCCTGTTTGGACTTATAAAGAGAAAGTCACATTTAAAGAAACAAAGTGAATATTTTAAGGTGGTAACTAATGTTGTTAAAGGAGTATTTATTGATATTTTTTATATAAACCTCTTGCAGGCATTTATTAATAAAAATGAGAATGCATATACTTGGAAGAATGTTACTGGCTTGAGTAGTGAATTGGTTAAGAGATAGAATAGAGAGAGTTGAGATAATCAGAGAAGAATGTGTTTCACATTTCTACTGACCTTTGCGTGAAGAAGTAATTCTTGACATCATCCTGAAATGTCCAAGCTCACATTTTAATGTTACGCTCCCACCATAAGAAATAACTTCTCACTATTTAACCTACTAAATCATCTGAAATACAAATAGATCACCCGAAACTTTCAAAATGTGAGCGATTACAAGCCTCTCCAAAATAATGTTTCTGCATGATTTAACACTTTTGACTCCAGGATCTTTTTGGTGAATCTGCACTGCCCACTTTCCAGGGAATACAATATCTAAGCAGAGGCCTCAAAAGGAACATGACAGTAGTTATGCTCTAAACCCCAGTTTAGTGACTAGCAATGCTAAAGGTATTAAAATGTACATAGAAATGCAGCAAACATTTCCTAATATTTACACTGTATTATTTTAGGATGAAACTTCTCAGCAGCCCAACTTGAAAAGTTGGTATTTTATGCATGCTCAGCAGAGTAAACGCTTAGTGGAGAAGATAACCTTAGGCTATAATATAAACCCCAGCAGTTGACAACTCAATATACTGATCTGCTTCCATGTATGCAACCTTTTCTCTCTTAGGTAGCTAAAAGGTCAGCTTCGACAAAACCTCACCCTGCTGGAAATAAATGCATAAATACAAACCATTGCAACTTTTGACAAGCGTTACATTCATGTGGGTAACTGCTATCTCAACTGAATCCTTAGCAATGAGAAACAGGCTCCTTCATAATATGCAGGGAATCTCTAGGTCTTGTATTGAGCCACGGGATACAGCTGAATGCAGCAATAATATGACCAAGCTTCTGTACACAAAAACAAGTAAACAGACACGTGCTATTCATTTAGCTTTATTAGTAGTATTACACATACACCACAAAAATGACATTTGTAACTTCTGCTTCCAGATATTTTCAGCATGTTCTGTCAAGATCCAAAATCACATGATATGAACAACAGTAGATAATTGGAGTTTTATTTAATCAGCATAATTGCATTTTGTTTTTAATATCAGATAAAACTCAATTTGCTTTGTCCAAACACTGCAGATTAAATCTTTACAGAGAAACACAGTGAACATAAACACCTTGATAACCCCATTAGAGTTACACTGAAACACGGGGTTCATGATCCTAAGATGAGTTTTATTGTAAAACCACAGGCTACTGAAACAGATGACCCAGGGAAATTCATAACTGAACATCTGATGCAAAGGAAGGAAGGCTTTGCGTTAAGCTTTCACACACTCTAATATTTAAGAATTGTGTACTTGTGCCATTTTAATAGGCAAATTATAATTGCATTAAAAACTAAATAATACAGGTTAAAATCTATATACATAAATATCACTGTTAAAAATAGCTTGATTATAATTTCAGATAATAAAATGCATTTGGGTTATGAATCCATTTACATTAGAAAATTGTCTGAGAAAGATTACAGTTATCATATTTTGCCCAGGGGTTCTATACATTTGGCCTGGTACATTATTGAAACAGCCTTTGTGGTATGAAGAAGGATTGCCCTCGTTAGCCAACAAATAATTTGTACAAATGCTTTTTATACAGTCTTAATTGAATGGTTAGAAATAACTGAAACACAATACACCCAACTTTGGTGAGGTAAATTGCTATATATCTCACCCATTATACACTCCCAGCCATTATAAGCTCCCACCTGATCCTCCTTCCCCTTGAAGTCAATAGAAAAGATAATTGGGTAGAGTATATAATTGGTGGCCAATTCACACTCATCAAAGTTGGATTTTATCCCAATGTTAATAATTAGTCACAGTAAATTGCACCATTAAAATAGTTCTACACTTGTAAAGAAATAGTTATTCAAATTATTCCTATACTAAAACCTTTCTGCACAATTACATTTACAACTATATTGACTGGATAAACATTATATTCACCCAACAGTGGAGCTAAATTTCTTCCTCAAATGAAATGTATTTAGTTAAATGGTGTTGCAGTGTACAAAAATAACAGCACTTTAGCAGAAATTAGAATGCTACATTACATGAAATTACATCAAAAATACTTACAAAATGTCGAAAATACAGAATATTTCCTAAAACAGCAAGTTCACTGCACTTCTAATACAACTATTTACATTTACACTTTACTATTCATCTCTGCATTGTTTCTAAGGTAACCAGCTGAAGCTTGAACACTAGACATCTTTAATATGTCACATTTGACATTTGCTACACTTTATGGGTTTCTCAAAGAAAACATCAATTTGACAATAACACTTTAATGAAATTCAAGAAGAATGCTTAGAGAACAATAAAAAATTATTCTACATTCATACTTTTAAGGTAAAGGTCCCTTTCTGGGCATTGGTTCTCTTAACTAGGTCCATGTGGTAGTTATACTGTTTGTATTTTCTGATTGACCAAGGAGAAGTTACATTTGCAACTAGTGCCTCAGAATCAAAGATTTTGTCATGATCCCTCATCTCTATTTGGGGCAGACTCAGAAACTGTGATAATTAAACTGGTTAACTGCTCAAAACTACTCATGTTCAGAGCAGCTTCGAAAATAGAACTAAACCATAACATGGCTGTAAGGGCTGCATCGAAATTATATTTGCAGAGAAGTTCCAATATTAGTTTCACTTCTATAGTACTTTATAAAAAAATTGTTAATGGGATGTTGATGTCTCTCACTGGACCAGTATTTGTTGCCAAATTGCCTTGAGAACAGCTAGGAGTCAACCATATTGCTGTGGATCTGGAGTTACAAGTAAGACAGATTAACAAAGACAGCAGATTTCCTTCCCTAAAGGACATGTGTGAACCAGATGGATTTTAATTGTAATTGATGATAGTTTCATGATTACTGTTAATTAAATTAGAATTCCAATTGCTGCATTAGCCCATGCAATCACTGTTGTTTAGATTCATGGTACTGAAACAGTTAATGTTGGAGACTGCATTAAACTCCATCCAATCTGATGACATCATATGGACTTGACCAGGGAAAATGCAGAAAAGCTTAGGATCTTGTAAAGTGAGAACCTATATCCTAGGTCTCTTTGTCGTCTCAGTTATAGTGTCCGGCTTACTAATGTAAGTTGTTCCTGATTAAAGCAAAGAGCCTTGTCTCATTAAGACTCACTAGAAGTTTTCTTCTACCAGTGTAAATCAAGTAAGACCTAACTTCCAATCAAGGAAAGGGAATGATGCCGCAAAATTCCCAACCACAAGCAGGTAGTCATTGGTATTGCATTTAATCATAGAATCCTTACAGTGTGGAAACAGGCCATTTGGCCCATCAAGTCCACACTGAACATCCAAAGTGCATCCTACCCACACTCATCCCATCCCTATAACCCTGCTTTTCCCAGGGTTAATCCATCTAGTCTGCACACCCTGGATACTATGGACAACTGAGCATGACCAATCCACCTAACCTGCACATTGTTGGACTGTGGGAGTAAACCCATGCAGACACGGGGAGAATGTCCACACAGACAGATCCCAAGGGTGGAATCTAATCTGGGTCCCTTTTGCTGTGAGGCAGCACTGATATCTACTGAGCTGCTCTACTAGTAATTCATACAACAACTACTTGTCCATTGTTACTTGACTACTATCAGCTGCCTGAACCCATTAAATTTGTCCTCACTGATTTACAATGGCTTAAGGGCCAGCAATGGCTTAATTTTAAATCATTATTTTTATATTCAATTCCTCTCAAGGTCTCAGACCCTCCCTATCTCTATGACCCTGTCCAGTTTCATAATGTTCTGAGCTCTCTAGCTTGATTTCACTTGCCCAACCACCAGCAACTGTGCCTTCAGCTGCCTGGGCCCTGGACTCTGGCATTCCCTCCCTAAACCTCTCTGCTTCACTATCTTGTTCTTAAAATCAAACACTTTGACAAGTTTTTGTTCAACAATTTTGTTCAATAATGTTCCTGTGAACTGCCCTGGCTGTTAATACTGTGTTAAAGGTGCTATAGAAATGCAACCATTGTTTAAGTTTTACAGTGAAGCTTCATTATTGCATTTCCATTACAAATTGAACAAAAGGTAAAGCTGTTCATACAGCCAGATTTGAGTGCATATTAGTGTGACGGCCTTGAAGATGGAAATAACTCAAATATAACAAGGACACCGAAAGAATAAACACAAATTAACACAAACGCTGTGTGCTAATGCGTTTTTTTTTGGACACTTTTCCCAATGTACATTGTTGCAATTCTGAGTATCCTTTGACACTGGCTAGCAAAGTGAAATATTTTGATAGATCTTACTTCATTGATATCATGGGAAATTTTCACCAAGAGTATGAAAACTTAAAATTATTCTGGTTTCAATTATCGTTTACTTTGTTGGATAGAAAGGAAATGTTTCACAGGGAATGTCACGTTGGGACACAATCACCCCACCTATAAATAATTTCAAATAATCAAAATACTTCATTAGGAGGGTTTAGTTATATAAAAAGTGATAAACGGTAGCTCATGAATCTGTAAGGAACATGGATCTGCTTATGCTACACGTCTCAACCTCACTAAATCTTTTTCAGTTCCCTTCTATACCTGTTACTTTGTGTATAGTTAGCTTTATTCATTTGGCTAACTACCAGTACTACAGGGGTATTCCGTTAGATTTTATCTGTGGAGAGAAAAGAGTTAACCACTCCAAAGATGACACATATTGGACTTAAAACGTTAACTCTGTTTTCCTCTCTTCACAGATGCTGCCAGACCTGCTGATTTTCTCCACCACTTTCTGATTTTATTTCAGATTTATAGCATCTGCAGCATTTTGCTTTTGTTCTGTTAGATTCTATGACATGTTTTCTGGGGTTAAACCTCAGGAAACTGAAAAGTTAAAGTTTAATTGGCAAAGGGCACTACTCTTGGTCAGCAGATTTTAAAAATGCTGCATTGTTCAGCAAAGTTGCAAAGACTGAATGCACATCCTTAAAGTTTCTGTAAATCAAATAAGGAAAGAGATATTCTTTTTAACATTACCGGAGTGAAATTAGGACCATGTGATGCTGATTTCGAATGAACAGAGTTCATCTTCTACAATTTATTTTGTACATAATTTGAAAAAAATACTAGCTGAACCAAACTATAGTGCCTTTGTACACCTGCGGTGCTATCTAAACAAAATTAGAGTAAAGATTTTGAAAGCTGCTGCTGTGGTTCATAGGTAGCCCTGCCAGGAGATCTGCTGTTATGGTATGCCATGGTATGTTATGGTATGTTTTAGAGCAATAATTACAATTTTCATTGTTTTTAAAATAATCTTTTCAAGTGCCTGAATGTTTACCAGACGGAAACAAGGTTGAAAATCTAATCCAGTATTGAGCATTATCAGATTTACAACAGACCTGTAACTGCTATGATGTAATTATGCCACAAAATCAATAATCAAGCACATTTCAGGGAATTGTATCATTTTGGATCCAAATAGGTGCATTGTAAGGGACTGTCACTTTTTGAACAACATTTTAAGCTGTTACTTAGATTAAGAACAATTTTTAAATCATACTTTTGACTAGCATACATTATTATCCTCCAGCATTTGAAGATTAAATAATATGAATTAAGAGGGACCACTATCTAATACCACGGTTATCAATTTATGACACTGCAAGCCCAATGCCTTCCCTAACTTTATCCATTTTTACAAATAACACTTGTTGTTTTCTTGGTTTTATTGGTACTGACAAACCTAATGCAAGAATAGTTTACCTTATCTATGACTAAGAACAACACTGAAGACTTGCCATACCACAACAAAAGCGGCACGAATAATAGTGTCTACAAGATATTGATATTAAGGCATGAATCTGAACATCAAATGGCAACATTTACAATTTTAATAATGAATATAAAAGTGAGAACGTGTAGAAATACACTGATTATAAACAGTCCAACAGTAAGATGCAGATCCCTGGTGAGGCATGGGATATTACGGAATGGCACACTCACATTGATGTGCTTGGTAAGGTGACAGATAAGAAGGGAAGGGTTTTGATGGTTCCTCCCTTCCTCTCTGACATTTATACTATCAAGACAATAGGTACTTTCCTCTTTTAAATTGACGGAAAATACTCCAATGGTGATGCTTGACTGGTTTTAGTTTTCAAGGGATCTGGCCTATGCTGGAACTTGCTGGAGGGATTATCTAGAACCCAGTGATTAACCCACTGAGGATTGTGTGTCTGAACAAGTTCGATCAGATGTAGGAAGAAAATGGTCACTTGCAACTACGTTGAACAACTACACTGTAAAACTATAGTGTACGGTTTAATTATGTAGTTTTTGTTGAATGTTTCTTCAGATCATAGTTACATTTTATTTTTAATTTATCTTTAAAGTATTTGCTTAATCAACAAGTCTGGAAAACAATCAGATTATAATTTTCCTTCTGTTGTTTCACATCACTCAGACCTTTTCATTCTGTGTTGTCCGATTCTACAGCAGTGTATATCTATTGTTAAGCATGCTTATATTTTTGACACGTGTTTATGTCCTAACTGCTAACATCTGGTTATGGTAATTTTTTTTTCCCTCATGAAGTTAAGGGGATGATCTTACAAAGTTTGGTTAGACTCTGGTATTGATTACACTGCACACCTTGGCCCTAGTTCCCCCAATTCACTGCCTGGAATGTGTGACATAGTTTGCTAATGTTACTGAATTGAATCCATTTGGTTTTATTTAAATGGCTCAAATTTTCTCAAAAAGGATTCCTTAAGTCAAATATCCTTGCTGTAATTATATGCTCACCTCTCAATGATCAACCACTAGCTTATTAACCATTTACTCAGAAAATGATGGGAACATGCTTAGATCGGCAAAGTCCTCATTGTTGTAATTGCCAGTCCCCTGTGTTGGATCTCCAAGCATGGACAACATATCCTGCAAGTACAAACCAATTACAGCTTAGAGTATAGAAAGAATTAGATCCTTGTGCAGAAAATATTAAGCCTTCTCATAATGCAAATATTAAGCTTCATGAAAATATTACCGCACAACACCCAGAATAAAAGTAAATTATAGCTGCAGGTAAACATGATTAACATATATAGAAATGTAATCGATATAGATGAAAAACTGTTGCATGCTGTGGAAGGCTCTACTAACATTTTTTTCCAATGTCGGTATAAAAGATCACGAAATTTGGGGTATAAATTGGATAACAACTCAACCTTCTGTGATGTCACTGTGCTGGTTTTGAAAACCTTGTCTTAGAAGTGGACCTCACTCACCTAAATTAGCCAAGTCCCACAGTGAATAAATTATCTTTGGGAGTTTTTATTCTATTATTGAAGGGATGTGGATTTGGCTGGCTGGGCCAGCATTTATTGCCCATCCCTAGCTGCCCAGGGGCAGGTGATGGTGAGCTGCTTTCTTGAACTGACGTAGTCTATGTGGTATCGGTACATCCACAATGCTATCAAAGAGGGTGTTCTAGGATTTTGACCCACTGACGCTGAAAGAATGGTAATATATTTCTAGGCCAGGCGGTGAATGACTTGGAGGGAAACCTGCAGTTGGTGGAGTTCCTATGTATCTGCTGCCTTTGGCCTTATAGATAGCAGCGGTCATTAGTCTGGAAGATGCTGTGTAATGATCTTTGGTGAATTTCTGCAGTACATCTTGCAGATAGTACACACTATTGCTACTGAACACGGTGGACGAGGGAATGAATGTTTGAGGCTGCCAATCAAGTGATCTGCTTTGTCCTGGATAGTGTCAACCTTCTTCAGTGTTGTTAGAGATGCACTCACCCAGGCAAGTTGGAAGTATTTCTTCACATCCTGACTTGTGCCTTGTAGATAGTGGACAGGCTTTGGTGAGTCTGGGGGTGAGTTATTTATTGTGGGATTCCTAGTTTCTGACCTGTTCCTGTAGCCTCTATATTTATGTGGTGAGTCCAGTTCTATTCATGGTCAATGGTAGCCCCCTGGATGTTGATAGTGGGGGATCCAGTGCTGGTAATGTCATTGAATATGGTTATATTGTCTCTTATTGAGATGTTTTATTGAGATGGTCATTGCATGGCATTTATGAGGCACAAATCTTACTTGTCACTTGTCAGCCTAACTCTGTACACCATTCAGATCTTGCTGCATTTGGATTTGGACTGCTTCAGAATCTAAGGAGTTGTGAATGTTACTAGAGGTGTACCTCAAGGATCTGTTTTGGGGCCACCGCTGTTTGTCATTTTTATAAATGACCTGGATGAGGGCGTAGAAGGAT